AAATTTTGCTCGGGTACTGAGTGCCCGATAGACGGTTTTAGGGTTAATGATGCGTTGCCATTCGGTTCCGCCATTCAATTAAAATTAGACTATAAGTAGGCTATCGACATTGTGATAGCTACTCATTCGTTGATCGACACTCGAATATCATACAATAAAGTTATTTTCGGCACCTGCGTTTTATTCCATACCACTACAACTTGGCGACGAGGATAAACGGCTACATAAACCGTCCAAATTTCAAAAAGACATCAAAAATCCGCGGTCAAAACTTAATAAAAATACGTACCCAGTCAGTTTCCAGGAAGTCTCATCTGATTGAGGACAACCGCAGGAGGAAAACCACCCTAAACAATTTATTCACTCAATTGTAAGTAATTCCTTTTGTTATGCAACCTATTTTTTTTTCCATCGTCATGATAAAAATATCAAATGAGCAACAGTGAGAAAGATAAAAAAGCGAATAGAAGGACAACAAGATCAAATTCCGAACTTGCAACATTTTTTAAATTAGATCAATCGGGGACCACAACGATAGAAAGTACTAAATCAAGTGAAGGAATTATTTGCAAACAGCGGTCAACAATATTGATATAACATTTGGAAAAAATATTAAGAAATAATTGTAAAGTTTAAAATGTACAATAAAAAGTAATAAATGTGAAATTAATAAAAATGTGTATAGCTGTATCTAGAAAAAAACGAATGCTCGAATTTCGAGCACGGGGCGAACCCTAGTATCTAGAAATAATATTTTAGAAATTATTTCTCGGGCTTCAGACTCTCCCCCGTAAATAATTTCTAGAAATTAATTTAATTTGAAAATGGAAATAATTTCTAGAAATTAAATTTCAGAATTTATTTCCATAGAAATAATTTCCAAACTCATAGAAATTAATTTTATGCTCTCAGAAAATGGATTTAAAAAAAGAGAATTAATTTCTGGAAATAATATTTTGGAAATTATTCCTAATAATTATTTCTCAGGCTTCAGAAATTAATTCAACAGAAACTATAGGCCCCCGCCGGCTTTCAAATGTGCGCTTATGACTTTAAAAACTATAAATTGCGTTAATAAAAATGTCAAATTCTTTCCTAACAGTTGCTGCTGCACATGAGTTGTTGGAATGGAATGAAGAGGATAAATTTGATCGAATAGTGACTGGCGATGAAACCTGGATCCATTACTAAGATCTCTAGAGCTCAAATAACAGACGATGAAATGGCATAAACGTGGCTACTATTATGCACAAAAGATGCATAGATTGCGCAAAGCAATCAGAGAAAAACGCCCTGGTTTGCTCACTTGAAAAGTTCTTCTTTTGCACGACAACGTACCGCCTCACAAATCATTGCTTGCACAAGCTGCCATCAGGGAATGTGGGTTTGATCAACTTCGCCATCCACCGCATTCTCCAGATCTGGCCCCCCAGCGACTACTTTCTGTTCCCAAACACCAAAAGGTATCTCAAGGGGAAGCAATATGAGACCGAAGATGAGATATCAACCGATATTTTCAACGTATGGGAGGACAAAGATGCCGAGTGGTTTGAAGGAGGAATTAAAGCATTGAAGCATCGGTATGAAAATGTAATTCGTGTTCAAGGGGACTATATTGAATAAACAATATATGCATTTAAAAATACAATGTGTCTTTTTATGTCAGATTGGAAACTTTTGCCTACTACTGTATAAAATTGCGATCGCGTGGAGATGTTTATTACCAGCGATCAAAAAGGACCGAGTTAAGGTGTCAACCGGACAAAACTTGTCCGCCCGTCAGGTCCGAAAGCCTTAGCAAATTCCCGGACGTCCGGTCCGATGTTCGTACAGTTTACATTGGATTTCGGACGTCCGATCCGACTGTCCGAAAATGAGAACGGACTTTCGGATTTTTGCTCGGATTGTGATGGAACACATTTTGGATAAACGTCCGAATGTCCGTTCCCATTTGCTAAGGCTTTCGGACCGGACGGACGGACAAAATTGGACAAATTTCTGTCCGTCTGTGTCCGGTTGACACCTCGGTCCGAGTACGACGTTTCCCCCTTTGCTAAGCGAAATTAATCCGATATACGGCGCTGATGTAAATGTCACTCTATGTCATTCCACAATAATACATTTTTTGGCTTGACAATATTTAAGCTCTTCATTCAACATGCATAATTTTTGAACGGTCGAGTAAAAAAAAGAAACATATCATAAAATATTCTCCTTACGTTTTTCATAAAAATTCTCTATATTTTAAATTTATTTGTTTAAAAATAACAATAATTTCAATTTTTTTTCATAGATTGAACAAGAATCTAATGTAAAAAGTAATACCAATGCGACACCTACCGTAAAAATGGAAAAGGAAACTTATTTGGAATTTTAACATTTTGGTCCGCCATAAAAGCATCTTCGTTTTGCTTCTCTGTGATTGGTCAAGTAAAACGAAGATGCTGTCATGGCGGACTAAAATGCTACAATGGAGACCAACTACGTTTCTTTTTGCATTTTTACGGTAGGTGTCGCATTGTCATTACTATGTACATTGGATTCTTATTTAATCGATGCAACATTTTTTTTGAAATTATTGTAATTTACTCGTATAAACAAATTAATTTTTCTTTAAAAATTTTAATGAAAAATTATAGAAAAATATTTTATGACATGTTTTTTTTCAACGATTCAATAATTATGAATGTGTATGCATTTCAAATGAAGAGCTTATTATTGTCAAGCCAAAAAAAGTATTATTGTGAAATGACAGAGTGACAATTAAATCAGCGCCGTATATCGAATTAATTTCGCTTGGCATAGGGGGAAATATTTTGACAGATAGTACTCGATCCTTTAAAAATTGTACTTTGTCCGCCTTGGAATTCACTGCGGAAATGTACATAAGGGTTTGGAATATCTGAGTCCGCGTTAGGCACAGCGGGTCCTGCAACAGTAAGGAACCCATTTTCATTTGTTTTATAGTTCCACATATCTATCACTAATTCTATTGTCATTTTATTCGTTTTCGCTGTTCCTATGGAAATCCCAATAACTTTATCTCCACAAAACGACACAAATTCAATTCAAGAAAACTCCCTTTGCCAATTTGTCCCGGGCTATGGACATTTATTTCATTAATCAGCAGATCGCACTTTTTCTCCAAATTATATGTCAGCTTTTCATTTTCACTACACGATATCAAGCCGACATATAAAAAATACCACAAGCCGATATGTAAAAAATACCACGCTTCTAATTTCATTTTTTTGTAGTTTTTTGGACTTTTTTCCAAAGTATAAAAAATATTTTTGAGGTCTTACTTTTTTTTTTATTTGTATATAACTTGTTGTACTTAATTGAACGATTGAACCAAAACTAACTCAAAAACTTAAAATTTGAAGATACAACGATTTGTAAGTCACGTGAGAATTCATTACTGATGACTCATTTGAAAGTCATGTGAAGTCATTAGTGAAATCATTTTGAAATGTAATGACAAAACGTTCCGAAAAGAGAGCATTGAAATAGAGGCTTTGGCAATTCTTATGGTTAGAAACAAGAAAATATGATGAAAATGTATTTCAGGTAATAAAAGCATATAATGTATTGGCGACAAATTTCCTAAGTGACATATTGCAAAGTCAAAGTCTAAAAGTCTAAGCACAGAGGTAGCATTTTATTTCAACGATTTTTGTGAAAAAACTAAGAATAAAAAGCCCTAGCAAATAGTAGGTAGAAAGAATTTTTCGCAAGGAAATTTGTAGCAAAAAGTGCTTTCGATTTTACAATTGAACAAAAAAATCCCAGAAAATCAAGAGAGATTCCGTCGCGAAAAACCCTAGTAATTTTAAAGATTTCTCTGTACCTCAAAACTTGAAAAGCAAAAAAAAAAACGGTCTTCACTTTTTTCGCAAAAACCATTTGCTGGGGAAAGAATTTTCGGGAAGTGTAGCTGGGACGATTTAACCCTTAACCGCACAGGCTAAAACAGTAACGTAAGCGCACAGGTGGGGTCTTTTTGGACCTTGAAGAATTTTCATATAAAACCTATATAAAATGGCATTCAATGAACAAAATATGTCATTTTAAGGTTATACCATGGCTTATTCTTTATTTTTCTAATACAACATCACAATTTTATGTTGATTTTTTTATGAAAAAAATCAATTGCAGTCAAAATTAAGTCTAAGAGGTAGTCTTTTTTTCAATTCATTTACGTTCGTGACAATTTTTATGTCATATAAAGATATGTTTTTGCTTGAATCTAATGATCTTATAGAAAATATGGTAAAAAAACAAAGTATTGCAATAGAAAAAAGAGTGGTGAAATGTCATGAATATCATTCTGAATCTGAAGAATTGATGACAGGCTGCTTCTGACACTTTTTGCATTTGATGATTGAGTAAGCATGCTGTTTGCAAACATTTTTCCGACATACTTCGCACATTTGTTTGATTTTTCGATCAACGCTGCGTGGACAAATATGGCACCGACGTCTAATGTTCTTCTTGGTAGCTCGTGATGTGGATGGCTCTACGACAGTCGTGTTATTTCCAAGAATATCGCTAATTGATTGTCGTTGACCAATCGTTAGGCCTTGTGTACTGCGTCGGGCAATCTGTTGATACGTGAGCTCAATGTAGAGACGCGTAAGAAAATTCTTCCGTTCTTCCTTCACACGATCATCGAGCTTGTTGTTGGCCGTACGCCACATGGCATACGCTGCGACTCCAGCAACGTTCACCAAATTCATGAAATATGCCATCGGCCATCGATTTGTTTTGCGCTGAACAGTATACGTGTGACACAATTCATCGAGTACGTCAACACCGCCTTTGAACTCGTTGTAAAACATGTTGATTTCAGCTTTGCCATTCTCTTCTACTCTATCGGTACGATGCAAAGTTGATAAAAATATGACACTTTTTTTCGGTCGAGGAATATGCGAGAGCAAAGTGCATGTTCGTCGGAAACCAAACAAGTTTGAGCCGACTTCACGTTCATTTGATGGTTTGAATTCAGGCGGGACAAACTTTTTGTTCTTACGAACTGTACCAACGCTGTACAAACCATTTGTTTGCAGCTCTGCTTGCGTATCATAGTTTGAAAAAAAATTGTCAAACACAACAGTTCGGTTCGTCCTAAAATAAAAAAAAACATAGCTTAGAGTATAAAAATATTATTTGAAATTTTGCTAGTCAATATTTACTTGTAATATGGTTGACACAAATTGAGAACGATGTTTTTTGCAATGTTTGTTTGACGTGCAGCACCAGAACGTTCTCGACCAAGGTACGGAATTGCCTTTAGTGGATACCAATTTTTGGCATCTACCAACCAAAAAATTTTCAAACCGTATTTGTCAGGTTTGCTCGGAATATACTGTTTGAAACTGCATCGTCCTCTGAATGGCACTAGCTGTTCATCAATAGTCACGTTTTCTCCTGGTGAATACATTTTTCCTAGGTTCTTCACAACCATATCAAAAAGGTCCCGAATTGGAGCCAATTTATCTTGTTTGCGCCGTTCCGAACGTGTATCTTTGTCATCAAATCGTAAAAAGCGTAGCAACTCCATGAAACGTGTCAAGCACAATGTTGCACGAAACAATGGCATTCCTCGTGTAATTCCATAGAATTCACGATAATTCCGCTTACTTGATCTATCAACACCGGCGGCAAACAGTAAACCAATAAATGCATGAATTTCAATATCGTCGACATCTTTGAAATTTGCTTTGTGTTTACGGCCCTCAATATTTGTGTAACGTACAATCATATCGATCACTGGCTGAGAAAAAATTGCGTTGAAATAGTCGAAAGGACTATCGAAATGTTGACCAGGAACTTTTGTGACCGTCATCAATTTTGATCGATTTGGATTGCGTTGCTGTCGTGCCCATTGAACCGGCTCGTGCTCCCATTCAGTTCCGTCTTTGCCAGTGAACACGGTGCTTTCTTCTACCTCTTCATCATCAACGTTCATGTCTTCGTTCTCGCTCTCGCTCTCACTATCCTCTTCAAAATTACTTTGATGATCTTCTTCACTGTCGGTGAGGTCATCGATATAACTTTCTTCTTCGTCAGCAAAATCGGCATCCAAACTCTCATCGTCATCATTTGCTTGCATTGCATCAGCAATTTGACGCTGTGTTAGCCGTCGCAAATTAACCATCGGTTGAAACATTCTACACATATGAATCACAAAAATAATTGCACAATAAAACCAATCGAAAAAGCAAAACAGCGAAATAAAATATTTTACCTTTTGTCTCGAATATTTTCATGTAAAAATACAAGCGGAAAAAGATGTCAACGAATAAAAATTTACGTTTGGAACACAATATAGATGAAAAATATATATTCAAAACAAATCACTGCTTTGTTGTTTACCGGAATGGAAACACTGAATGTTGTGTCAACGAATGTCTTTGAGTTTCATATTTGGTTATATGTCATTTTTCATACAAAATCCTTTGGGGCCTAAAGCGACCCCTGGTGTGTTTTTACGTTAGCTTTTGGTATCAAACTTTCCAAAACTCCATCTATGCGTCAAACATGGAAATATTTGATTGTATATCATAGATATGATATTAAGAAAGAAAACGCTCAACGGAATTTTCCAATTTAAAAAATATTTTTGTTTTTTTTTTTTAAAAAAACAACTCTTAGGGCCTGTGAGACCCCACCTGTGCGTTTAAGGGTTAAGGGGGGTTATCCAGGCTTACACCCCCTGTGCCCATGTATGTTTTGAAGAGTACCAACACTCGATTAGTAATTAATACTTGGTTGAGCCGGAAGGAACGTCTACAATCATAATACCATACAAGCGACATAAGGTCCGCGGAAGAGTAATAGAAATTATTATAGTGATGGTTGACGTATGATTCTACCGGGTAAATAGCGGCTATGGATGGATGCAGCTAGTCTTTTTATGCGTCTGCGGTATGCATATTATAAACAATAGAAGTGATTGTTATAGTAATTGTAACAATGGAAGTGTTGCTGGATGCAGTAAACTTCTTGTTTCAAAGAATACGATAATATATGTCCAATTAATTATTATTTCCTCAGGACGAAGACTCAATTGCATACAAATATCGTTCTATCGATGTTTATGTTTGAGTGCATTGCATTCACAGTTTCGTCAGGAGAATCAAAAAGTTGAATCGTCAAATCGTGTTTAAAATTATTTGTATGGAGAAACTTACTCTCTCTCTCACAACACAGCTGAAATAAACCTAAAAAATGGGAACACTGAAAATTGAAGGACCAATCTAATGAGTAAAAGATGATTTGCTTTTTTTGTTGTCTTCTTTATTTTCTCTTGAAAACTGATTGTTTGAGGGAAAAGCCGGCACATCGGCAGCAAAAACCCTCCACTCTGCTCTTGCTCGCGGTCGTATTCATACTGATTGACAAACGTCACACTTCACATTTGCCAACCGTTGTAGTTTGCGCTTTTTGGTTGTGGTAGTGCTCGAACGTGCGTTCGATACACATAACATGTAGTAAAATCTGTCTATCTATAAACAAAATAAAAATATAATGCACCATGTATTCAAGCGCGAGGGAGTCATATTCATTACACAATTTATATGAGCGCCGAGATACAAGCCATTCAAAATCAATTGTGACCATTTGAATATCGAAATGTGATGTATTCAAGGCTAATCGCAGCAATTTGAGCAACGAAAATGTAATTGACTTTATTCAATTGTATTCCCATTGCCCCATTCCAGAGCGCACATCATAAATTTCACATTTTATGACGAAGTCCTGCGACACTCAGTGTCAACATTCTCTTTTCCTCTCTCCCGCTCTCATTTTTTATATTCCTCTCTCCCACTTTCATGTCAAAACATGTTGTGCAATTTTACGCAAAATTCACTCACACTCCATTTGACTCACACTCTATTTGAACATATGACAATTGTCCGCCAATGCAATATTATTTTTAATACGATGTGCACCTTGTGATCTACTCTCATAAAGACATATGGACGCCTATCATCTGCGATTTCTCTCAATGCATTTGATAGTTCCTTAGTAATTAATGGAAAATTATGCCCAAATATGGACAGAAATATGTGCATTTCCTGTTTACACATACATTAAAATAAGCAATGTATAAATATTATTTCCATCCTACAAACTTGGTCATTCCAATTTTAATTTTGTAATCTATCACATGCATCACAAGGGGTGATTCACCACTACGTAATTCTGTGAAATAAATTCTATAGCCCGAAATATAAAAGTGGTTTTACTTTTCCGCACACACCTAGTGTGTAAGGGGAAAGTATTGCAATGGGTCAAAGTTTACAACATCCCAAAAACATATTTTCTGGACGTTTCTGAGATCAGAGAACCCGAATCAAGCCGTTTTGAGCATGGTTGTTGTGAGTCTGTTCCACGTTGTACGTTGCCGTACGCAAAATTTGTTAACACAATAACTCTCCCCCCAAAGAAGTTATTTAAAATCTGACTATACAGGATGATTGGGGGTCGCGAGGGATAGAATTAGCAATAGATTTTGAGCGACTTTAGTTGATGGAAAAAAATTTCATGCCTGGAGTGATACCTATGAAAAAGATTCCAATTTTCGTCCAAAAGTCATACTTAATGTAGACTTAAACACTCAAAAATATGTATTGGGAGGTTTTTTGGCACGAGAAAATCGAATCCGATGTTAGTTTTGAGATACAATCAATTTTTGATACAGTTTCCTTGAAAAAATCACAAAAACATGATAAATGTTACACAAAAGTGACAAATGTTACACAAAGTATCAAATTAGCAAAATAGATGAAATGGTTGAAATATTTTTACATTTTTGAGCTTGGATTCCCATTTTTTTTAAATTTAATTTAGCTTAACTAAAAAACTTAAAATTCAAAACACACGAGAGTAGTAAAATAACATGTGAACTGGACCAGTTTAATTGCGACAACACCATCCGCCATTTTAATTTTTTTATTGGTTTAGTTCGATTGATTCGTATGCATTGCGACGAAGATATTTTTTTCTTTTCTTTATTTCGTTGTTTCAAATTGTTCCCCCGCCAGGGCTTTCAATGAAATTCAATCCAAATCTATAGAAACATTTACTTTATTTTTTTCTCTTCTTCATTTCGTTGCTTCAAATTGCGCCAGGATTATCAATCAAAACATGAATCTCTTCATATGAAGATTATGCAAATGCGAAGCAAGTAACAAAATGTAATTTAAATTGTTTTACCATTTTTCCGTAATTAGTCCCAGTTGAATCTCATTAATGGAATTGATAAAATATAAGAATAACATATTGGGAGTATAAGTTGACAACCGGAATTTTTTTGTTTAAAATGAATTTTTAATTTAACGAAACCAAATAAATTGAAACTATCAAAAATAGTGACACCTGGTTAAGTTTGAAAACGATAAAATTTTTATATTTAAGTTTTAAATACACACAAAAATCGTAATGTTTAAAGTTGATTCATAGTTTAAAATTATTTCGCGAAAGCACGCGCTAATTTAATTTTTAATTATCACATAATATAACCCAACAGTGAATGATTGCAATAAGTTATTATTAAAATATGGATTTTATCAAAAGTGTCACATTAACTACCCCAGTATAATTGAATGGAAAACGTTGCTATTCAAGTGTTCTCTTGGTTAAATTACATAGTTTTTTTTTACTTTTTATTCGACGGTTTTTCCATTGAATTGTATTCATTTATTTTCCTTCAGTTTGCATGGGTTTTTAATTTTCATTGCAATTTATATTTACAATTTTCCTGCTTTTTTTTGTTTTTATTACATAGTTTGGTTTTATTAATATATTATTTTATATTTTGTATATATCATGAATATGCTTACAAGCAAATTTCAAATGAACTTCTATCGTTTCTTTGTACTTTTCAGAATCTTCGATTCGTGTCCTATCTATACTAATAAATCCATGCTCTGTCATTAGTTTTCTAATCGAATCATTTGATAGAATATCTTCAATAGAATTGAGATTCTATTCTTCGACTGTCTTATAGAAATTTTTCCTGATAGCCACATCTAATGCACTTTCATCATTAAAAAAAATGGAATACATTATTACTCTGTTTTGAAAGTCCACCTCTTTTATTTTCTTTTGGGTGTTTTTGACTTGATAAAATTTAAACTTATTTCGCTTCAGTTGATCTTCATATGCAAAGACTATATTGTTAAATTTTTCAACATTGACCAATTCGGTTATTAGATGAAATTCATTTTAATTATTGAAGGCTTTATTTATTTTTTATTTTATTTTGTTTGTTTATTTTTATTTCTGGATAAACAATTGACCATTACTGAACAAATTTTACTAAATAATCAAAATCATAATTTTGAAATACGAGTACATTACTAAATGTAATATACAGTGTGTATATCTGTTTTCAAGTTAATCGTATCAACTCATTAGCCCAAATATGCACAGCACTTGCTCAGTCCTTTTTCAATAAACTATCTCACTCGCTCTCACCTCTCATTGTCAGTGTAGTGTCATAAATCTGTCGATTCACACCAATACAAAATATATTGTCAAATCGATTGTGTTTCGAATAATATGTCATTCTTCGGAGAGCGTTACAAGAGCGCTGTACATCGCAAAACGTTTGTGCAAAAAAAAAGTGAAATGAAATGAAAACAAAATCTAAACATGAAAAGTAAGTATTGTTTCCGTAATGTGCGGTATTTTCTTTCTTTTTTTGAGCGCCATTTCTATTTTATTTCCCAAAATTTTGTCTTCATTTTTTTATATTTACACCCGTTAGTTCGCATAATGTCGGCCATGTTTTTTTGTAGACCAATTTTGTTCTAGCTGTTTCAATCAAAGTTCAATGCACATTGCTTTCATATTTTTGTTATGTCGTACATTTTTTTAAATTCTATATTTGCACGTGAATTAATTTCGACAGACATTATATTGAGATATTTTGAGTCAGAGTAATCATCTGTCTGTCTGCGATCTTGCGTACTTGTTTTTGATCTTCGAAAACTTTTTCGTTCTGGAACTTTTCAATTTGTTCATGGTGATTTGAATTGATATCAGAAATTTTGTGTTTCAAATTTTGGTTTCATCACTCGTCGCCTTTTATCATTTCATAAAAATATTTGTCCGGTCCATACATTCGCATTTCATTTTTATTTTGGTCCGTCCATTTGTATTCAAATAAAAAAAAATATAAATCTTAAAATTCATAAAAAATATTCATTTGTTCATAATAATAGATAACGCGAGCACACGTAAAGTGCGAAACAATTTTAAGCTGTTGCAAGATGGTAACTTTATATGTATTGTACATCGTGTGAAAAAACGAGACCTTCCGAAGCACAAGTCGTCAATTTACAACGTGGTCGATATCGTATACGATGACGAAAGGAAATACGTTCCTCA